GGGGGGGGGGGGGCTCAATGCCATGCTTGTTGTGGGCCTCATGTTTGGAAGAAAACCGCCGGAATCGCTAATGAAAATTTCTGTTTGTTTTGCCTGTTTTGGCTTGGGACACAGGTCGGGACATGGACACCGTGGAACTCGTGAGCTATGGGAATATCAGCAAGGTCAGATCTGAGGGTGAATTTATGGGTTGCCGAATATCTTGACTGCATTCAACGCATCTGGTTTCAAGTGCAGAAGCAGAAGCACGGCAGCCGTTGCGAGGCTGCAGTGCCTTACATTACATTGCTTACAGTCGCCAACATGCATACATAACTGAAGGCACAGGAGCTTAGTAGCTTACTCTCAGAGTCTCAGGGCATACTCACACTAGGACTTCCCTGGATGTATTGGAGTGCAATTAGAGCCTGGGCTGTCCTGGATGTATCTGACCTCAATCGATCACATGCAGAGACCATTTGAAAAAGTGCTAGTGTGTGGATGCCCCTCACAGAGTGTGCCATCGATTGAAGGGTGCAGATCCGCACTTGTGCCGTGATGTGACCTCTACGAGGACCATCGTGAATTCGCTTGGCCACATTTATATGACCAAATTGGTCTGCTCTAGTTCCTGTGGTTTTAACTCCCATGTGGACCACGATGAATTGGCGTGGCCACATTTATGGCCCCATTTATGACTAAATTGGTCTGCTCTAGTTCCTGTGGTTTAACTCCCACGCGGACCACCATGAATTGGCGAGGCCCCATTTGTGGCCCCATTTATGGACCCATTTATGGACCCATTTATGACTAAATTGGTCTGCTCTAGTTCCTGGGGTTTAACTCACATGTGGACCACCATGAATTGGCGTGGCCACATTTATGGCCACATTTGTGGCCCCATTTATGGTGTGTTGCAGTCCAATGGTTGAACATATATGACTTACTTAAAGCACCAGTACATGGCCCCAGCCAAGTTGAGAGTCTGATTGAGCCCCTCCTAAGGAGGCTCGCATGCGATCGATAAAATAAATCAACGGTGGGTGGCCTCCGAAAGGGGCCCAGGGGCGATGGCTGGCATGTACTGGTGGTTTAAAAGTCTAGGAGTCTAGGACAGTAAAGATGGAAATCCATTGACATTGTCATTTCTTTGGGAGGCATGCAGCTAATGTGAGTTCGATTTCTTCCCTTTGTTGTTTTGTATGTGCGTGTCCTGTTTTGTTACTTGCTTGACGATGCAACTGATGTGAGTTCAATTTCTCCCCTTTTTCTCTTTTCTATTTGCGCGTCCTGTTTTGTACTTGCTTGACGAATGGATGTTGGGGTGGTGTGAACCTACAGTCCTTAGACTTCGCAGTCTTTCCTCTGATGTGGGTGAGTGATAATTGGCCCCACTGGTACCCTTAGAGGGCAGCGGGCCAGCGGTTGGTGCCCACCGCAGGATATCAGTTCAGGGAAGTGGTTGGTTTGAGCCCAACCACAAGTTTGGTTAAGGTGGATTGTCACTTTCAGTATCATTGGTTATGGGATTCTGCAGATTGTAGAGGGTTTGGCACCTTGATGAGTCGATGAAACTCTGACTAACCCCCAGCTTCTTGTCCTTATCTTCTTTTTTGCTAGAGATGGCTTCCCCCCCCCTTCACCCTTGACCTGACCTGCCGAATTGTTTTTTTGATACCGCCCATCCTCACCTAAGAATTTTACTTTCCTTCCTCTAGACGCCCGCCCGACCAACGTAGTTTTCAAAATTTTGACTCCGCACCCTGCCCGCCCGCCACCTGAAAAAAGCCCTCACGCAGACCCACCCGCACCCGTTATAGAAGTTAGAACATCATTTACCTGCCCAAGACCTGCGACATAAAATTTTCACATTTTTTTCTCGCCCCTACACTCGCCTGTGTCAGTCCTTGCATCGTTTCCATTTCACCGACACCATGACATCGCGGCAAGCCATGACGAAATAAAACAATTTGATATTCAAAATGCAATGGTTCAAAAACTGATCGTTAGCACAACGTCATTTAGAAGGATATAACTTAAAACTTAAAAGAGTTTATTATTAGCAGAAGCAACACTGTGTTGATAATTTCCAGACTGTCAAAAACGAAACGCGCTAGAAATCAATTCTGACAATGAAATCTCAAATTCGGATATTCCTTTTTTTTTTAACAAAATTTCCCCCACCCACTGTGTTAGTGGTGCTGATAAGAGCAGACACCACTAGCACCTGGGGAGAGGCTCCATCAAAGTTCCTGAGCTAATCAAGTCCTTGTTTGATCAAACAAACAAAATGTAATTGACAATAGAACCTGGGGAGAGACTACAAGCGAAGCAACTTTTGCCGCCTCTTAGTGCGGTGCGCAAATGGCACGGCAAGCGCCGTAGCGTAAGCTGGCAGGAAAGTTGAATGATCGAAACGCTTTCAGAATCTTCTCGGCAAAGGTCAACGTCAATGTGACACCCCTTTGTGACATTCCGTTGTCCTCTTCATTGAAGCTGCACAACCCCGGCCTTGCTTGCCCTTCGTAGTTTTTCAGGATGTTGTTTTGCAGCCTTTGCCACCAACACTCCAAAATTCATTATCTACACTCGCGGCAACGTCTTTTGCGTGATTGTCTCCAATTAGGTTTGTTTCTGTCTCTGTATGACAGTCAATTGTTTATGGATTTTCATTGCAAATTGTTATTTTGACTTCTTATCAAAATATGAGGTGATTGGAACGCTGTATATAGCGTGCGTGTTTTTGGTAATCTAAGAGTTTGTGTCTTTTTTCTTTGATTATCAAAAGATTTAATAAGCGATCGTTGTTTTCGCCTATGTTGCACACCCGGCCGCGGCCGGGGGGGGGAAATCGGCCTCGGCCTCGGCCGATGGCCGAATCGGCCAGGTTCAGCCTCGGCCGACCAGCCGAGTTTGGTGCAGGATTTTTTTTTTTTTTTCTAACGCATGAAAAAATATATATATATATATGGGCGTGTAGGGCTCAAAAAACCCTACACGCCCATATTTTTTGGGGGGGCATTGTTGTTTTCTATTGCGTAACAATAAATAAAAACAGAAAAAAGAAAAAGAAAAAAAAAAACTCGTCGAAACCCTGTGCAAGTATGTGTGTGTGTGTGTGTGTGTGTGTGTGTGTGTGTGTGTGTGTGTGATCGGGTGGGGGTAGGGGGGTCGACCCCTCCCCCAGCAATCAATCAATCAATCAATCAATCAATCAATCAATCAATCAATTAATCAATCGAAAAGAAAAAAAAGAAAAAAAAACGGACGTGTGTGTGTGTGTGTGTGTGTGTGTGTGTGTGTGTGTGTGTGTGTGTGTGTGAGAGTGAGAGAGGGCGAGAGTGGGGGGGGGCGAGAGAGAGACCAGCAATCAATCAATCAATCAATCAATCAATCAATTAATCACTGGCCTCATGGGACTTTCATTAACAGGATGAGCAAAATCGAGCTATGTTACCCCCTGGCCGCAGCCGAGTTCGGCCGTGGCCGGGCCCCCCCCG